ATTCTAGATTAAATTTAATAACCTGCTCGAAACATGTGTAAAATTTACTTTTCTAATTATGTTTTTGAATACGATAAAAATCTTCAACAAATGCCATAATTATAATCCGTTTTCTTTAAAATAAATATGGGGGCTGCGGGGGTCCAAGCCATAACTATACCCATTAAAATATAATTAATAATGCTATAGATATAGCTTTTAAAAATTATTTAACTTTCTGGAAAATTCAAGATTAGATAGTCTAAGTTTTAAATGCATTAATATTTCAATAGGGTAAGTGAAGGTTATTGCTACACTCTACCATGCATCAATCGACAAAGAAAAAATAGAATTGTCAAAGCCAATTGATATTTATACAGGTTATATAAGAAAAAATGAAACAGGGCCCCTGGCCCCAAACGGATGGATATTATGAGTTCAGTATCCCTTGTTATTAGAATATGGATAACCAAGTGTAGGGGTAATACGTTTGGTCGAGTTTCATCTATTTATGTAAGAGTATTAAGCCTATTGATACTTTAATTTATAGCTTTTTAAAGTTTTTGAACGTTCTAATAAATTCAAGATTGGATATCCCTAATTTTAAATCCACCGATATTTCAATAAGGACGATAAAGTGTATTGATACCAAGTTTGGCTTATATCCATCAATTCACATAGAATATACATGGTTGTCTATGCTTATTAATAATTACATAGCTTAAATAAGGGGAAATGAAATGGGCCCTCGGCCCCAGAAAAATAAATATCATGAGTTTATTAATCTTCGGTATTTGAATATGAATAATCAAGTATTTGTGTACTAAGTTTAGTCAAGATCCATCTATCCATGTAGAAGTACTAATCCTATTAATATGTATATAGCTTATACTAGAAAAAATGAAATGGGGCCACCAGACTCAGAAGAGTTAATGTTATGATTTAAATACAATTCGTATTTGAATATGGATAATAAATTATATCTGTGATAAGTTTGGTCAAGATCCATCAATTAATCTAGGATTTAGAAAACTACCAAAGTGGATTTTCTGATTTCGGCCGAACCCGAAAATAGGCTGAAAGTTTTAAAAAAATTACTTTCGACAGAAACCGAAGTCGAAACCAAAAATGAAATATTTAGTTATTTTAAAGTTAGTCGTTCCCGGATACATTCTCCATGCATCGAAAATGATGGGGTAAAGTACCAATATTTACATTATCATTATAAAAATGAGATAATCGTGAATATTAACAAATAATTATCTAATACAGGCGTGTCAATTGTGACTCGCAAGACGATATTTTGCGCTCCGCTACATGACAGACACATTTAGTTTTAATGCGCCGGGGTAATTTTCCCATTATCATATCTATAACGTGACTTTACGCAACGGTTTTTTTTAATGTTGCTATACATTTTTGTATGATTATTATAATGGTAAGAAACGTTTTAAAATCGGAAAAATGTTTTTATTTGATAGCTTTTTATGAGACAAACGTGGAAAGGGTGCGGCTTTGAGAAAAGTTTTTAAGAGCAAGTTGGCGAGTAATGAACAATCATAATTGTGTAAATCGTTGTAATCTTATACATTATCAAAAAATCTACATAAAAATGGCTGCTAATGTTTACGAGTGATGGAAATTCCGAGCCTGTCAGCTTTGTCACTTTCAAAATGTTTTCTTATGCATTTTTACCCAGTTTGGGGCACAGGCCATCCACAACAATGCTCCATTCATGGCGGTCGCTGTCCTATGCTTTCCTTTCCATTTGTTTCCAGTTGTATACCATATTTTGTGTGTATGCCTCTGGCTTACGTCTCCTTGTCTTCTTAAGCCTTCCTCTATTTCTTTTTCCAAGGAGATTCCATGTTAGGAATTGTCTTGTGATGCTATCTGGAGTTTTTCGGAGAGTATTTCCTATCCATCTCCATCTTTTCTTTAAGGTGTCGTCGATTGGCGAGACCTTTCTAGTAGACCTTTTTTTGGAGATAATAGATGGGCATTTGATGTTCAGGATCTTTCTAAGGTATGTTTTTATGAAAGTTTGTACTTTCTGCGCAATCCTCGCCTTTGTTTTCCAAGATTTAGCTCCATATAGTAGGATTGTCTTTTAACATAGTCAAACAAGCCTACGATAAAATATCAAAATTCATTCTACCTACAACAGCTGCTTCCTTCGAAACAATAATTCATAAATATGGCCTGCTCCTGCTACTGCCTACTGCTTTACACATTTTCGCATTTAGAGCCTTCATGGAGAATGATGGGGTTGTTGTTCCTGTACTAAATGATTTCAAATGGCTCATAAACTTGGCTTTTCTTGTTGACATACTGGAGCTGAATGTACTCAACAAGAAGTGACAAGACCAGGTTTGGCTTGTCAGTGTTTCCTCTGACAATTTAATGTAATTCTGCACTAAACTTGTGTTATGGTTCTTAGAGAAACATAATCCATTTCCCAAAATCCAAACTACTCATGGACTCCAGCACACCATTCAGTAGTAACTTATTAGTAAGTATAATGATGCCAATGATAGGCTACATAAAGAACTAACTAAAAGCTAACTTTTCTCTTTAGGTCGAAACCGAAATTAAGCCAAAATTAACTTTTCAGTTTCGGCCGAAATCGAAACTTGGTCGAAAGTTATAAAATAGCTACTTTTGACACCGAAACCGAAGCCGAAGACGCAATTCGGTTAATCTATAGTAGGAGTAGCTTTTTTCAATTTTATTTCTATAGCTCATATATTAAAAAAAACGAATTTTGGGCCCCCGGCCCAAACAGAAAGTTATAAAAAGTTCATAACCCCTTAATTGTTCCGTCTGGACACTGATGGATATATTTATATGCCAAATTTTTGTCAAGATCGATCAATCCATGTAAAAGCCTTGTGGAAAAAAACAAACAAACACACAAACCCACAAATGTTCACATATATATATATATATAAATATATATATATACATATACATTATATATCCATCATGATACAATAGGAAATCTTAAGGCGTTATGAACTTATAATAACTTTCCGTTTCGGGGTCGGGGCAACACATTTGTTGTTTTTTTCCAAATATGAGCTATATAAATAAAATTAATAAACAATTATCCTATATGAATGGATGAATTTTGACCAAACTTAGAATATATACACTTAATTTTCCATATTCAAATATCTTGGGGTACTGAACTCATAATATCCTTCCTCTGGGGCCCCGTTTCATTTTTTCTTATATAAGCTTTTTAAATATCGATATGCTTAATACTCCTACACGAATAGATGTATCTTGACCAAACTTAGTACACAGTACACATACATCCATATTCAAATACTAAAGGGTACTGAACTCATAATATCCATTTCTCTGTGGCTCCCGGCCCCATGTTATTTTTCCTTATATAAGTGATATAAATATCAATAGGCTTAGACAATGCTATAGGCCATAGGTTCTTTGTTAATAGATGGATCTAGGCATAGCCTTGTTCATTACCTTTCTTAGTCCGGGTTGAAATATCGGTGGATTTAAAACTAATTTAAAGAATATCCATTCTAGAATTTTAAAGAAATTACGATAATTTTAAAAAAGCTATATCTATAGCCTTTTAAAGTAGATTTTAATGGCAGAAGTTTTAAATTTTAACTTAATTAATTTTCTGAATGATTTAATAGGGCCCTATCTCAGGCAAAACTAATTCGGTACAATCATCGAATGGGCGTCCCTGGAGCCCCTTGATTAACGTAAAAGAAAACGAATTATAATTATGGCATTTGTTGAAAATGTGTATCGTATTAGAAAAATAATTGGATACGTACGCTTTACCATGTTTCGAGCAGGTAATTTAATTTAATATAGAATGTTCCAGAAAGTTCTAAATTGTTCCAATGGGACATATAGTGGGATATAAGGGATTATTGAAATTGCAGTTACTAATGTTCATTTCTATACTGTCCCGTAGTTTATAGTTTTCTCAATACCACTGAGTGATTTTTTTATATGGGGTCCCAAAGGAGTCGGGATCCCATCATAATATGTACCCAATGGGTGAGGATCCCACCTGAAAATAATATCGGACAGGGATCAGGATCCCAACCTTGAATGGATCCATCGGGATCTGAACAACACCGGGAAACGGGAATGCGCCGGGATGGGTGTCAGAATTTGATTAGGATTCCAATGGGATCGGGGTACACCAGGATGAGGTCCTAATGTTATCACGGCAAATACCCGGTATATCCGCTTGTATATATATATATATGCATATATGATATGATTAGTAATTTTTAATATAACTAGTCAACGTTCTTACAGGAAACCATATCTTAAACCTAATGGTTATAATAAATAAAATGTATGTAGTGTAAACAGCGTAATTTTTTTTCTTCAAATGTATCGTCTCAATTAAATTTGTTTAAGTATACTTCAAGGCTAACCCAAATATAATTGGTTTCCTGACTTTAATATAAACATACTTATACTTGTGACAAACAATGGCCTTGACAAGATGATTCATTTAAAGGGTATATATTTTTGTCCAATCGATCACACATGTTTTAAATGTGATTTATTATTTAAGGTGAAGAAATGTTATAATTTAAAGTTAGGAGTTTTAAAGAACTTAGATTGTGTACCTCTTATCTTTTGATTAATTGTTTCCTATTCATAGTCAACATAGTGCATTTACATATATGTATAGGTTTATAGAATAATTATTTTGTAATACTTTTTTGTATGAAGGCAGTTATATTGTTTTATTTGAATATCAATAAAGAAAGATATAGTATGAATGCATGAACGCTATAAATATCAAAATAGTATGATATCTTTCAATATATTTATAAGGATATTACTAATTGCCAAACAATGTGTATTTTTAATTGTTCAATAACAGTTTATATTGTATGGCAATTACACAAAGTTATCATGCATTCTACCATTTAGACCCGCCACAATTTAAATAATGTAAAGAAAATACATGTGCCTTGCAGAATGTTAACACAATGCTTATTTTTTCTTTGATACACTAAAATGTAATATTATTTTCTAAACAGCTATTTATTAAATCTGCAAAAGAATATTAAAGTTCCTTTTTTCACATATATAAAGAAAATTTTTACCAACGAACATGTGTGGTTTTCACGAAAAATTCATAAATATTATCTGGATGATATTGATGGCAATCACGTTGACACAGGGTAAGATAACAATATATTCCTTTAAATTATCAAATAATTGTATATTTTAAGGGCAAACATTTTTCTTTTTAGATTAAAGTAATTTGTTAATTTTCCAAACGTCTCGAATTTGAAATGACATTGATCATAACTGCCCCCACACACAAATTTTATGTTTTAACGTAATGCAAAGGTTATTTGAGATTGTTTTTAAGTAAGAAACGGAAAATCATTCGAATTTATGTCGCACAGTCCATGAACTATACTTTCACTATGTATCATTTAGTGCAAAAACCGAGATTAGGAAATAGGCACAATTGTTTGCAGGCGTGTATTGTGCTGCATAATAACCTCAATTTTAGACAATAGAATTCATTGTAATCTTTCCCGAATCTTTTTGGTTGGAATGTTCCATTGTCAGATAACGCAGCTAGCATGAAACAAGCACAGTCCCAGTAAGTTCGGAAAATCGACGCTCTTGTGTATCATACAAAATGTAGGATAATGTATTATTGCGAACGGTACTCTTTAAATACAAAATGAACTCTGGCAATATAAAATAATACTTGCATTGTTACAAATGTATATGTATATATACCATTTTTCACGTGTATTGTACAACGAAGTATGGAATTAATATTTTTTATGTACATATTTATGTTAACACTTGGTTGGCTTTGATTTCAATATTTGTATATATATATATATCTCTTTTAGAACAAAAATGTGGTATTGCAGAAGAGGGTAAAGTGTATACCTTGAGTTTAGTCATTCCTCCTGGAAGTTACAAGGATGAAGACGTTCACATTGAGGCTAATCATGGGCGTATTGCAAGGTGCACACTTCGCACACAGACGTGCATTAATTTGCATTCCAATTTATACCACACGAACTTAAAGAAAGTGGAAGGAAGCTCAGTAATAAATGTGACAGTTTATAATATGACGAAGACACGTTTCCTGTCTAATGATATTGTTCAGTTCTCATATGCTTTTGCTAACGATTATCAAAAACAAGAAATGTGCGAGCCCAAAGTTTTCTGTGAGTATAACTTTTTAGCAATGTTACTATATTGAATTTTGAGTCCCTAAAATAAATTAGAATAAATTCAATGAATCAAATTAGCTAATTTTATTTCTTGTTCATTGTTAAGTATAAGTTAAAAACCTAATAATTTGCTTATGTTTGACATTATTTGGTTGATTTTCATTCGTTTAGGGAATTAAATAGCATACATACACAAGTGCTATTCTGACCTTCAAATCAAAAGCATGGATGAATTATGTTTATATATTTTACAAATATATATATATATGTTGTAAAAAATCAGTATAATGTAACTTTGTTTTTGATTGTTTTTTTATACGCTACACCCAGTTAGACCTCGTGATATCGTTTGCTTACATCAAATAACAGGAGAAGGATTGTCTTTAACATGTACTGCTGAAAGAATATATCCAGGAGGAAAATGTTTTTTCTTGCTAAGCTTCAATAGAGAAATGGTAAATATAAGTCTCTTAAATTAACATTTTAACTTCAAAACAAATGTTAAAACTTAACTTATTACAATTCACATAATTGTTTCTTAATTTTTGAAATTTATATTTTTTCTCTTAAAATAATTGTATGTGGTCAACAGAAAATAATTTATTTTTTTAACATTTTCAGTCAACCATACATTCTACTAGTACATCAGAAAGCATTGAGGAACTTGCAGAAATGCCGATTTATTTTAAGTTCAACTGTAACATTTTTATTTCAAAGTCAACATTGGTACCAGCGTTGTATCACTTTAACTTGAGCATGTATCCAAGCATCTATCATAGCAACACAGACGTGATGTATGGAACAAACGATTCACTAGCTATCATATTAGGTTTGAATTATGTATAACGTCTGCCTAGCTTCGGTATTAATAAATTCTAAAAGTGTTAATACCGCAATGTAATAGGGATCATGCATTTTAATTAATTTTAGCTAAAAAGAAATGACGTAACCATAAAGTTCCTGTTGTTGCCTTTTTCATTATGCATTTAAAATTGCGTATTGTGAACTTTGGAAATAAAATATGAGCATACATATTAAATGTTTTTATTTAAAAATGTAATCAAAGTAGCATGTGATAATATGTTTGGAAGTTCTGAAAGCCGCATTGAATAGCGTTTATAATATATTAAAGTTAATTGCACGGAACAACAACAAAATAATAATAATATTGATAATAAACGTATATCAAATTCAAAATATTACTTTCTAATAACAAACAAGATATAACGAATTTGATATACAGAACATATGGATAGGACATGCATGAGAGAAGAATAGGACATTCTTGGCAACCAGCAAGAAAAGAAATTTTGCTTAGTGTCACAAAACTTTGACTTTGGCAAATATTACCTATTAGGTCTAAATCGGGGGGGGGGGGGCAGCCTTTTGAACATGTCCGGGTACTTTGGGAAAAAGTTTTACATAAAAAGTTAAATTTATCATTTCTTTAACATATTTCAGCCTTTAAAATATAGTTCTACTGAAAGTCCCCTACCTTAACTGCCAGCCTTTAAATATTCGGCCAGCAGACACTCTTACACCCTTACTGCAGGCCCTTAAACACTTTTTATGTAAAAAGTCCTACACCATAAGTCTGGCTCTTTGTTAACTATTATAAATGTCGTATCTGAAAAATTCAACCTGTTATCTAGAGTTCAACCGTAATGCTTGACGCTCACTGCTTGATAGCTTTTTTTTGGGTGTGTTTTCGCTAAGTTGTATTAATATACGACGTATGGGAGAGGGTCGGTTGCTAAGAGAAAACTTCCACACAAGAAGCATTAAATCCACAAATTTCTTAATTAAAAACAAAACAAAACGTAAAAAATTAAATTTCAGAATATCTTGTTTGCAGGATCTTTGTTTTTTGTTTTGTTTGCCTTCTAACAACAGATCATCCGAAATTGATCCTGGAAAATTGCCCTGAGTACATTGAAGAAAACAAAGAGGTTCAGTGTACTTGTTTAAATATAGACACGAGCCCGATCAATGTGTTTATAAACTGGTTTACAAAGGATGGACAGACAGTACTTGGTAATGCCAAATCGAATGTGCTCAAAGTTAAGGCAAAAAGAATTGCTCAAGGTAACACTAATAAGCTTTGTTATTGCTGTTTACCCGTGTTTTCGTTCTATTTGTATGTCCATTACATATAAGCAGAGGCGTTAACAATCATACAACAAAATGTAATAATATGATTTAAAAAGAAAAAATGTGGCGTTCAGAGGATTTTAATTTAGGTCGACACACGTTTATAAAGATGCAAACACCTTAAAAACCCGAAAAAAAAAATGCAGGCATCGGAAGCAGAGACATTGGACTTATAATGGACTTATAAGAATGCAGAGTAACATGATTTTCATAAACACAAAGAGTAAGCACTATTAATAACCCATGCAGATGATACGAAATTATTTTTTAAAACTATTTTTTATGAAAAGATGCTCACTAAAAAAATAGTAATTCAAAGTATTTAACTGGTTCATAGCAATTACTTATTATGTATAGTATTATGAATGATGTATGCGGGGAAAAAACAACAATCAAAGGATGCATGTAGATAATTATAAAACATGAGGATATCCAAATAACTTTATAGGATCGCTTGATTCATTTGGTAGTATCTAAATGCTGTAGATAAAATGATAATTTACACGTTTTTAATAGGCATATATTTTCTGTGTACCTTACACTTTACACCTCTATAGGTGTTTACATTAATATATTTTCAGAATTTTATTGCGAGGCAACTAATGCATTGGGCTGGAAAAGCGATCGTTCATCTTACAAACTAAAACAGATTTGTAAGCAGATTTAAGTTCTATTTTATTAAAAGTGTGTTAAAGAACTGTTATGTTTTGTTTTCATTTTTCCTGTGTTAATATATTATTGACTAAGCTATGGGATACAAACCATATTTGGTTATTTTGTTTATTTTTATTATCAGTATATAATAGTTATTGTTGCCCTGCCATTATTACTTTTGTTTATATAGTACTACAAAGGGAGACCATAAATTTGGTTAACTCAGAAAAGACAATATATAAAAGGTAGGAAGAAAAGAAAAAAGAGGCACACGCATCTGCACGATGCCTTTTAAAACGAAAAATTCTAAACAATGATCCTTGCTGACAAGCTCTCATTTTGATTGCGTCTTTTCTAAAATGTTATCCTTTTATTTTTGTTGTAGATCCAGTATCAATAAATAATTTGACAGTAAATGGTGAAGATATATTAACATACACCTTACAACAACAGAAGATTATGTTAATAAACTGTGAGGTAGAGGGAGACCCTATTCCATTCCTACAACTTTTTAACGGCCCAACGTTGCTTTCTGAAAAGAAAGGGGCAATCTCACCTTTTTCGTTAACTTACGCACACAAGCTTACTTGTGAAAGTTATGGAGTGTTCTCTTGTTTAGCTGCTCAAGGGAATAGGCGTCTTAATAAAACGTTTACAGTATTACTTGAATGTAAGGTTTCACAATTTCTTTTTTAAATTTTATAATTTATAAGTTTAAAAAAAAATTTGATGAAAACTAATAAAATGTTTAAAACTGTGTAAAATGTATTAATTAATGTCTTTTAGAGTCATCCATTTTATAGTGTATATACAATGGAAGAACTGCCAATTAAATTTTTTTAACATTTGTATATTTTATCACTAATTTTATATTGCTATTTTTATTATTTACAACATATATCTCACAAAGACACACAACACACACTCACATACACATACATGCACAGAGAGAGAAAGAGAGGGGGCGTGTGTGAGAGAGAAAGATATCATAATTTGAGATATTAAAGCTTTGGGACCTTTTGCATGATATAATCAGAAAGTAATATTATTCATTCACAACAGCAAATATGCATTATCAAATAGTTGTCTAAGAAAATAAAATAATTTTTCTCGAACTATGTATTATTTATCAAAAGCAAAAAGTTATTGTTTTATTTTTAAAACGGGAAATTAAATACATTAAAAACGTTATAATTTCTACTCTATAGGTGCTATTCAGTTCAATTTCCCACTAGACGAATCTAAAGAACATTTGATAAATGCGCAACTTAACAGCGAAGTTTCAATTGTTTTAGGCATTTTTGGACATCCTTGGCCAAATAATTACATCATTTTAAGGGGTTCTTCAAAGTTCATTTTTACAAACGTCACAAATGGAAACACCATAGGCCACGGCTACACAATTACGTATCAGCAGACTAATATGCCTTATGGAATAATAAATTTAACGTTTAAAGTTTCTGATCGGAAGGACTTCACCGGCTACAATTTCATAATTCAAAATGGAATAAACCCACCAGTCGTTTACAACTTTTTGATCGTGGACGGTAAGATTGGTTTAATGTTAGTGTTATTTTGTACACATTTTAAATGTATGACATTTCTATCATATATCCTGTAATATTTTGAGTGGTATGAAAATTAAAAATAAATTAGCATAATTTAATGTGATTTAAAAAAAAAAAATCTACCTGCATTTTATAAAAAAATAAATAACTTATTGATTTAACTTTAAAATTTTGTTGACTTTGTATGCCTCAAAATATATGTTCTCAATCAGAAATACAAGAAGTTCATAAACGATTTTCCATCATTATTGCCATCTGTATACCTTCAATCGTTTCTGCAATCATCATCATTGTGATATGTGTTTGGAGGTGTCGTAGCAATAGAGGTAATTATGAAATAATAGTAATTTAATTAATTAAATTTGAACATTGGATTTATAATAACATTGTGTAAATTTTACTACTACCGCTTATATAAAATGAGTAAATCAGAGTAGGGATAAATCTGAAAAAATAAACGCAAAAAAACAAAAGAAATGTCATTTCATGTCGTGCCGACAGATACTGCTTCCGAGCTAAGTGCTATTTCTTATTTTTATTTTTATGCCGTTTTTTTTTCTGTTGTTTTGTTCGCTGACGAAGTCTTTCTGCCGACACGTTCGCTGTTTTGTTGCATTTATTTTTTTAAGGTTTAACTCTACTCTGTTTTACTCATTTTATATTGTACTAACCTGATTGCAGTCTCTCCCCTTATTACCCTACTACCGCTTGTCTATTTTTATTATTTTTTTACAAAAAAACTACTGAATTATACCTTTAGCTACACCACCCAAATCTATGCATACAGTTGGACGTGCATTCGTATATTCCAAAGCGACTGTACCAGAGGAGCTGGACCAGCGGCTAAGTTTCGCTTCACATTTGTACGAGGCGACACCATGCGGGAATGTAGATTTAAAAACGAATTCAGATCAGGTCATCTACGGCAACGCTTAGGTGTTCGAAGCCACAGATGAAAACTATGACAATGACGGTTGGAAGATATCGTATGACTATAATCGAAAGCAAGTTGATTATCAACGCATGATAGTAAAAGAAACACAATAACAAATCGAAGTTGCTATTCGGACCCGGGTCCGAGAAGTTAGAGGTTGGGATTAAAATTTAAAAAAATAAATATATTATTGTTAGGTTGTAAGACAAAATTTTGTATCAAAATGAAAGATAATTGAATGGCCTATATGTTTGTTAACGTAATTCTTCTTTTTAACTAAAATAAACTACCATAAATGACATCTGAAAAGCATTAGTCTAAAGGGACCCGGGGCCGAATAGTGGCGATGCGTTTCCGGTTCCATTTTGACTACATGTTATTCGGATGTCATTTGTGATAGTTTATTTTAGTTAAACTTAAGAAGTAAGTCTACAAGCAAATAGTACATTCAATTATCTTTCATTTGATACCAAATTTTGTCTTACAAATGCTACAAAAATTTTTAAATATTTTTTTAATAAACCCAAACTCTTACTTCTCGGACACTGGTCCGATTAGCCGCATTCATAAACAAATTATCCCTGTAGGTTATTGTATAACTTTCAATTTCTTTTAAACAAAAATTTTGTTTGTAAACGAGGAAACCATTAGGTGTAAGAATGTTTGGATTGAATGCAATTTTCGTTCAACTAAGAAATAGTGGAAAATGGGAAATTAATTAATTTTTGTTTGTTTGAAAAGTTATAATGGTATTGTAAATTGTATATACGATATGCTACATTTTAATTTAATTTACATAGCTTTATTTTTATTTATTTCTAATCATATTTAAAAAGTAACGTGCATCTACTTTGCTGAATTTCTTTTAATACAGTGATCATATGCATAGAGTGCTAATGAGTTTCTATAATATTAAGTGGTATATAAATTTTGGTATGTGTGATAGAGAGCTAAAATGACCAATGGTTATGGAGGTATAAGGGAATGTCATAATATAAATAAACAGTATGTTCAAATAGGTGTTGAAAATGATGGAAAATATGTTTCGAAAATTAAAGTAACATTATTTTGTTTATTTCTATTAATTAACAAAAATGCCCTTTAAAAAAATATCTTTGTATAGTAATTTTCCCGTTTTAATTGACATCCTATTTACTATTGTACTGGCTTATCATTGAAAAAAATTTTTTACAATTATTATATGTTTGATTTGTTATTATATTATTGATTAAAACAATAAACTAACATATATTTATTTAATGGAAAAATTTCATTTGTAGTTTCACGCTTTAAAAGAATAAAAATGTTTCTTTTCTAAATGAGCTAATTTTTAACGGACTCTCCACAAACTCTTTGATTTAGAAACTACTTGTTTCAATGAATTCGTATTACAAATGGGTGGAGGGCTGAATTTCAAAATTGCCATCATTTTCAACATTAGACAGTAAGGTTGGAACTCTCCTGATTGGAATAGGACTCTTTTCTTTTCCCCCGTGGCTTCGGAATTGTCGATGCGAAACATTGTTCTGAAGCAAGAAGAATGACCTATGGTTGCCTTATACCATCTGCCGATTAATCCTGCAAATGAAGACATCATTTCATTTCGTCGAGATTGCGGTATCTTTCATCTGGGAAAATCTATCTTTCTTTCTTTATTTCTTGTTTGGATTTAAGTCATGTTTGTGAAAAATTACAACTTGTTTTGTTTTTTTACAGGTATGGTAATCTATTTTTCTTTTTTATATCAACGTAAGGTACGTCTAGTTTTAAAAATAAAAATTGGTGTAAATAGAAAATATAGCTAAAATGAAAGTGAATCGTTAATTTATAATGAATTACACATTTTTAAATATTTTTTATCACACCTTAGCGATGATTTTATTCACATTAATAAATGTTATTGAAAACCTCTTTCTTAAGACGGAGTTGTTCGTTTATTTTAATATACTAACTCATAGACATAAATATTTACCTATCGATTCGACAAACCTTGATGATTCTAACAAAATTTAACATACAGTTAGTTAAGCAGCAAATTTGTAAAAGTGGTTTCATGGAAATGTACAAGTTTATTATCCAAAAGTATCAATGGACAAAATGTATGATTCATTTCATCTATTTTTTTATCCGCTTTGTTGTTTTTCTTTATATTCCTTTCCTTCTTAATTATCTTGTGAGATGCATACTTTAAAATATTTAATACATTCTTGCAGTATTCATTCCTGTTTTACTGTCTAAGGCGTTACACAAACCATACTAATGAGTATAATGTCCTGAAATTAATGCATAACTATTTATATTCTGTTTTACTTATTAAAACAATTTTTTGTTCATATTCATATATATCTTTGATTAAATTAAAAAAAAACTGCAAAGGAAATCTTTATCGTTGGCTGACGTTTTCCACAACAAAGGGGTCTTTAAAGAGAAAAAAAAATAAAAGCTATCGTTTCAAACGCCCTTTTAAAAAAAAAGTCGTAAATAATTTAAAATCTTCTTTAAATAACATGGTTTTATTTTATGTTCTAAAGATTAATTCTGATTAATAACTTGAGTCACAAAGCATGAATCTTTATTTTTCATATCCGTTAATTCTCTTTAATCAGAAGTGTACAAATTTATAGATGATTTAAAAGCGAATTTGATGATCAAAACATTAATTTACATAGGTATTAAAATAACCAGTGAATACAATTTTTTTAATAAAAAATAAAAAATATTTTCTTTTTCTTTCTTTCCTTTTTATTTTAGAATGGACTGAAAAAAGATTAAACTTCATCTCCTGTTTCCCCTTCTTTAAGTTGTGTTAAGAAGCTAAAAAGAACGTTTTAGAAATCGACTTAAAACAATCGTTATCTCATGTCCGGTTTTTATTTATCACAGGAAAACAGAACAAAAGTATACCAACAAAGTGAGATCCCTAGAAACTAATTACAGAGTCTTCTCTTCTTTTAAAATTTAAATATATGAAAAATTGAATAAGAATGTTACGATTTTCCCTTGCTTAATAAGTTCCACATGTTAGGACCTTCCCTCTACTCACATGAAAAACTCCCGCACACATAAACTAATATTGCAAATGATACCGCATTTTATAACTAATCGTTAAGTTTTATAATCGATTCTAATAAATATAGTTTTAACGAAAAGATATTAGGATACATACATACATATATAGATACAAAAATACATACACACACATATTTATACATATATATATATATATATATATATACAAACAAATAATATTCATTGACGAACTGTAACTTTAAACAAAAAATGCGCAATTTTTTACAAATTCAGATTACATTAATCAATGCTCTAAACATATGTTTTGATAAATTGAAAAAATGTCGATTACACGATCGTCTATTTTCACATATTGTCGAATAAATAAACTCATATATTTCGGACATAAAGAAAATAATTTAATACGCAACGTTACTACTACATGTAATCAAAATGTATTTTCTCACACAATTAGATAGTGCCAAAGAATTGAGGGAATTATTTAGCGAATGCCCTGAAAAGTGACTGGTAAAATCTTCTATTAAACTCTATCACTGTCGGGTATTTTAATTTTGCTTAGCCTCTCAATACATCAATTAAATAATACAGTCTGGTTGTTTTTAAATACAAAAAAACATAATAATTGCAACCAAACTTCACGAACTGTCGATGATTTTAACTTCACAAGACTAACGAAACATGGAACAAATTCAATGTGGGAATGAAAACAATGAATAGCTAAACTACGTCCCTGTGAAAAGTTACTACAAACGTTTAGACAAAAATTCATTGCTCGATAAACCTGTGTTATATATTTTATTTTTTAGTAAAAACATATGGCACATTTCCAATGGATACTCAAACATTTAACTACATGTTTTATGTTTATTTTACTCTTAAAAAAAGTATGTATTTAGTTCGCATCAAAAAAATATCGTGCACTTAAGTTAAAATTTCATATACATTACTACACCACATATTTCTAGAGTAAAGAAATGAAGTACTCATAAAAATATCTAATAATTAAGTGATGTGGCATAAAAAAATCATCGGCATCCTTCCGTCTCGTGAGACGATGGTACATCACCGTTGGGTTGGGTTGCATTTTCTGGAATGGCTGTGCAGTCCTATCCTCGAGTTACAGTCTCTACCACAATTTATACACATATGTTCCGTGCTGCTAAATGTTTTGGCCTTTCTCCTAGCTCTTCTGTCTGCAGCCTCTTCCATTCTTCGCTCCTCGGCTACCATGACGCCCTCTTTGACAACAGTGCGCCACGTAGATCGGTCTTCTGCCTTATACTCCCAGTAACTGGTATGTATTTTGGCTGCTTTCATGTCCCTTTGACAGACATCTTTAAATCTCATTAAAAAATATGCTATTTTATATAAACATTTTCATATAAAACAATTACTTCAGCACTATACCCCGCCACTTACATGTCTTCGAAAAAGAGAGAAAAAATCGATTTGCAAGAGCAAGACTCGCTTGAAAAACTAAAGCACATTTAAATATTTCAATATGTTAGACCTGTTTATAATGTTAGAATAATAAAAGCCAAGTATAACGTTTTTAAATAAAGAATGCACACACATTACAAGAAAATCAAGTAGAGCATTCATCAACATGCCACGACGCCTTATTAACATCAACAAATGAATCCATATTTAAAATAGTCAATCTTAATGTTTGTGTGGGGGGGGGGGGCGAGCTTTTTTGTGCTGAATGCGCTTACTTGATATTTATTCTTTTACTAAAATAATGTCATTAATAAAAGCTTTAAGCTTGATATATGTCTATCTTTTGTTAGGCCCGCGCAAGTTTGATTCAACCTGAGACCCCAAACGCATGTAAGACCCTTGCGCATAACCATTAAAATTTTAATTATATATATTTATAATTCTATTGACAGCACACGTCTACTCATAGTAATAATTCACAATTTTCAATCCTCGAAAAATTCAGAGCTACTGATAACCAAATAGCCAATATAAGCCTCAACAATATGTTGCAGACTTCGAATATGCTGCTATGTATAGATAATACATATCATTATGTTTGACCACGTTTTTTAACAGTATACATCGTAGTAGAATTTGCTTTTGCAATGGCCAATGCAAAGAACTCCAATGAGCAAGGAACATTGAAATTGTGTTTCAAAACGTTTTTGTAAATCTATTAATGACAAGTTGGATTTTAGTGGAGTACAGCCAAATCCGAAGTCCAATTGATTTATATAATGGCTCAAGAGCTGTACAGCTTAAAGCGATACA